AAATCGATAATATCTTGTCATCATTTGTTTGATAATCGATGATTGTCGCCATTGAGGCTGAAAATATGATGCTTTTTGTAATAATGATATAAGTTCATGAGCTGTTTTATCGACATCAACTGATAAGTCAATCGTCCTAAACAACAGAAACAAAATATAGAAAAAAAGATCGATGATAATGATGAACTTTCGTTTTTCATCATTTTCTAGAAATTTAATGTGAGTCTGGATGATATAAGTCAGTTTATTCGATAATAAGAATATCTAAATAACAGAGAATGCTGGAGGCATGTGAGTACTCATAAACTTATTCAATGAAAATTGTTCGCTATGTAAATTACTCTCTATTATATTAAATAATTTTTTTCTATACTTATAATTATACAAGTTAGTTGATTATAGAGAGAAACTATGGCATGAATATTTTTACATGCGATATATTGTGTATCAACTGTTAAGACTCATATCTTACATATCTTTCGATTCATTTTGATGCTTTCTGATTCCGCCAATAGATTCAAAAGGATGTTTGTCTTCTGGTCGAACAAAACAATCACATCGATTCCAGTGCATTCCACAGGAAATGTTTGAGCGTTCCTTACGATAGTTAGCTTCAACTTCTTCTAATTCTATATTACGCAAATATTTTTCATACATCCAATCTATATAGATTTCTTTATAAGATTTTGAATGTAATTTTGTTGATGCTATTAACATTAAAAGAATTTATTAGAAATTAAAGACATAAAATAAATATACTTACAATTACATTTTAGTTCCCATATTTCATCTTGATCGGCAATCATTTTAAATGAACGGCAAGTCAATGATACATTACCTAAATCATGAACAGACAGATATTTGAATATGTGTAATATGACTTCAGTAGGAATAATTTGAAAGTGAGAGTTTTCTAAACCATTTTTTGTTCCATCTGTTGACCATGAATGTTGCCACGTTATTTTTGGTGGACTACGTGTCGGTAAATTTTTTCTTTCATCTGTTGACTGTGAATGTTGCGAACTTACTTCTGGTGGACTATGTTTTGATAAATTCTCTTTTATTTTCGGCTTTTTAAAGCATTTCTTTATTAAATTCATTTTTTAAATCTGGAAAAGCGATAGATTTGTTTATGAAAAACTCCTCGTTTTACTTTTAAATCTAAAATACGAACATTATTTATTATATTTAAAAAAGCAAAAAATTATAAAAACACTTATTTGCCATTTTGTTGTTGCATATAACAAAAAAAATATTCATCTGCTTGTTCCCCACTCAGTGAAATACAATGTACGAAACATTTGTCAAATTGAAAATTAAATATATTTCGTGAGGAAGTATTTACTGCTACGTATATCTTTAGATAAAATTTTTAATAAGTATTCGTTTTTCATCAGTCGTGAATGAATGTCGGACCTCGTACATTTATGAAGCTTTTCCTTTTGTCGATAGCATAAAGTTACGAATAGATTTTTGTTTTTTTTCTTTCTATGTATACACCTCGGGCATTGAAGATAATAACGTACACAAAAATATTCGATGTTATTTATAATTTTTTCTTTCATACTAATTCAAGAACTCAATATGACTCATATTAATCTAGCATGTGCTTTATCTAACAGTCATTTTTCTCCATTAAAAATCACATCTGTAAAATAAATTCAACAAAATTTATTCAATTTAACTACAGGAATCCTAGTTTTATAAATCGTTCATTTAAAAGCTTAAAATTGAAAAAATAACGAATGGTATAATTTAAATATTCTATAATATAGAAATTAATGAGTTCTAAGTCTTTTTTTGAAACATAATCTAGACTTGGAGATAAGTAAAATACGAAAAATATATTTCATTAATTTTTTTTATTAAAAACTTATAATCGGATAAAATAAAATAGGTTACTTATGTGATGTATAGACTTTCAATTATCGTAGTCATATTTTTCTTGTCAAAAAAGTGTTTTTTATTTTATATCCATATAATTATTATTTAAAGAATAAAATATTTTAACAACAGAAGATTAAATTAATGATGTTTGTTCATTTTATTGCATTATTCTTTCTGTTTTGTGATGCTCATTTAATTGAATCAGCACTTGTGTAATACAATTTTATTATTCTAAGTATTCCATCAAATTCAGATGGATATTATCGACCTACCATTATTATCCCTCATGCTAATACTTCATGATTTTTCAAATGGAATTCACGCAAATTGACCAATATGAAAGTGATGTATCATTTGAAGAGCTATTCGAAGATCAATGAGCAAGTGAACTTATACGAAAATAACAGAAAAAGATTTCAGAAGTTTAGATAAAAAAAAGCTGTGTTTGAGAATGGTACAGAAGCAGAAATATTCATTAGAAAATAATATTTGAACTATTACACGAATTATATAGAAGACGGAAGAAAAGTGTGTTACAGATGTAAAAAAGCGAAACATCACGGTCTCCAATGTACTGCAAGTATATATCTGTTATACCATGCAGACAGTGATAAAGTAGTCATTTATAAAACGGTAGTTGAACATCAAGATGAAACTCATGGTATTAATAAACGTATTAGAAAGATTATAGAAGATTTATTTACCGATGGTATTAAGAAACCAATACTAATTATTCGAGCATTTCAATCGAAGAAAGTGAAAATAACAATATTAATACAGTTAAACAACTACCCTGTTTTTTATAAAAAAAAAAGAAATATGGGTCCCATAAAGTAAGCGGAGATGAACTTGAACAATGGTATAAGAATAATGAAACTATTCCAGTTGAAATAAATCAATCCTTTATTATGTGTTATAAGATCTTATATAATGACGATGGACATGAAGATATTGAAGCTGAAGTGGCTAAAATGTTTTGATTCTTCTTATCATCTCTTCGTTTACTCAATATTGCATCAACATCTCAACAAATACATGCGGATGCTACTTACAAACTAATATGGCAAGGATTTTTCGTGTTTATTATAGTAACAACTGATCTCAATAAAGTTATACATCCATTTGGTTTGGCAATCTGTTCGGACGAAAAAATGAAAGATTTTGAATTTATTTTTAATAGCATTCAAATTGGTATGGAGAAAACTGACAAAGACTCACTCAAATCAACAGCTTTAATATCAGATGCTGCCGATACTATCAATAATGGATTTAACAATGTTTTTAATAATCCATGCAACAAGATAATGTGTTGGGCTCATATGCAGCAGAACGTCGAAAATCGTGCATGTCACATAGATGACACAGAAATGCGAAAAGATATATTAAGATACTTCAATTGTATAATTCAACAGCTACTTTCGAACTATCAACAACATTGCTTATGAAAAAGTGAAAAATAAATTCAAAACAAATGAAACTAGTCAATAATGGAGTTTCTAAATTACTTTGAACATGAATGGCTACAAATAAATGGTGGTTGGTATGAAGGAGTACAATTAAATACACTAAGGACGAACAACGCTTTAGAGGCTACCACTAGCACAATTAAAGATGACAGTATGCTAAGAGATATGACAGACGCCTTTTCGAAACTACCTCTTTTGACGATCTTCCTTCTCCTTTATTTCGTGTTACTAGTTCTCCTTCCTTTGGGTATGTCATCTTTCATTGTATGTTTCTTTAACGCGTTTGCTCTTCACTCTTTCTATATCTTTCTCTTATCCTTTTTCTTTCTTTTGGTCTTCATCTTTGAACTCATAAACCAAGGTGGTGATAAACGAATAAGTCATAAATTTACGAGTAAAATATATAGTATATATCTGACTGTGTCCATCCCATATCGCTTGCTATTTTTTTGTTGTTGTTGTACTTTTATTCTTTAGTCAATAAACAATTATGTCTCGGCATTGACCAAACACATTACACTATCTCTCCGCGCACAATTTTTATTCATTATTCATAAGCTAATTTCGTTACAGACGGGACTTTTCGAGAACGTCATGTATTATCAAGGCTTCTAGTAATATAATTTCCACACTGATTATTCAAATTATTATACCGATTACTTGAATGGTGACCTTTATTTATTTTCTTATTTCTATATTCTAAAACAAATATTTTAATAGATAATCGTATATCAAAGAGACTTCATATATGGTGCAAAATATTGTTGATATTTCAGAAAAACTTGCTCGACAACATGTCAAGTTATAGTAATATTCAAAGCGAATAAAATAAATGATCCTAATTTCTTGCTTTAGATATTCTTCTGACTCCATTTCTTAAGAACAAATTCTGTTCCCGATCTTATAAAATACTTTCGTTTGATGTTAAGCTCAGATCACAATATAGATTTTGAACAAAAATAAATAAAAAAGAAGGTCATTCAACCTTTGCTGATTATAACGAGAACATAATATTCATGCCTATTATATATCACGAAATATTGCTAAAAAAACTTTAACAAAAACGTTGTGTAAAGTTGTTATGTGTGTTCTGGGATTTTGTGGCTGACGTCATTCTTTTTCGTTTTTTTTCTTCCAACATGTAATTACAACATCATCTGAAACGAATGCAAAACTAATATCTATTCATTCGTTCGGAAGAAAAAACAGCAACACATCGTATAAACCAACATATAAAGCTACACAACACGCATTTTAGCAGCAGTGTTTAATGGCAAATCAAACAATTGCTACCTTCTTGACGTTACTGGTAGAGCTTATCTACCGAATTCTGGATCATCAATCAGATCTTACAATTATATGCTCAATGAGAAACGTATGTCAACGATTCAACAACATCGTTGACACTTATTATCGATATCAGGTAAATTTTTTTCTATCATCACAATCTGATTTTTATCTAATGACCTTCAGATTATTTTTCGTTCCTATAATCTCTACTTATATAGAATAACTTCAATAAATCATTTATGAACAATCTATTTCTCACTCAAAATAATTCATTGATTATCACTCTCTCTTCTCAAAAATTCATTTTTAATTATTATGACAATATAAAAATAGTGTCATGATAACATAGAAAAAATAATCTATTTCTTTCCTTCTTTTCGATCTCATTTGATTATTCCACGTTTCGACTCAGGTATAATGTTATATATATATACCATGATTACATGAGAACGAAAGAAAAAGAGACAAAACATTGTTATTTGCTTTTTACCTGTATCTAACTAGGTTTTTTAATACTATTTTGATAATAAAAATGAAATATTGAATGAAAAGAACAGTGTATAAACTAGTTTGTCTTGTTATAAATAACGTCCTAAAAATTCCTATGAGGCATATCTCCCACTAATATTCGTTCAAGAACATGGGCGACTGTAGGTATACATGGCAGCTGATGTGGATGGAGAGAAGATTGATCTACAGCAATATTCTCATCGAATCATATCACTGACACACATATCATCAAAGTGGAACATTGCTTCAAGGTATATTACTTTTAAGGTAAATGTTATTCCATAATAATTAATCCGAAACGCATTTCAACTGAAACAAGCGTCCGAAGGAGGAAAATTCGAGGATAATTCATTACCACATTGTAAAGTCCAGGAGCATTGATATGGAATGTTTCTCGTATAGCAATTTAGCATGTATTCGTCTTCTATTCATAATGAATCTAATATTATGAAATAAATTGTTTGACTCTTCACTTATTATATATCAATGTTATTTCATGCATACACCGATCTGATGCCACCGAAAGCAACAATCGAAATCAGTCAACATTCTCACCAATATAAATCATACGCATGAATCAGGCGAAGATATATTAGTTAGTAGCAATTCTTATGTGGAACACATTTTGAGTTACATCAATGGATATGGAAGAAACTCGTTCACCCACTACTTATAAGAACCTATCTTTTGTCGTACCTAGAGAATACTGGCAAGCGATCTGCCATACTCTATAACGTTACAAACTATTAATTCTAATACATTGTGCCTAGGGTACATAAACCAACGCTCCACAATTGTTTTTCATCGAAGCAATTTCCACACTGTTATTCATTCATCAGACGTTTTTCCTTCCTCTACAAGTACTTAAGAATTCCAAGAACTCATAGCTGAAAACTTGCCATCCATGCGTTACCCTTAGTAATTTTTTTAATTAACTATTTTACGCTATAATCTTGAGTACTGTATAGCATTGAGAATGATACAAATATTGAGACTCATATCCATACACCGTGCAAACTAGTAATATCAACATTCATAGGACTGGTCAAATCTGAGATAGCAACTACCAACTATACTACCCTTTCATGAACACTATCTTTATCTGCATTTTTTCATCTAGAAAATCGCCACACTAACTCTCAGGTATAATAAAATCGGAGCAGTTGAAGCGCAACATTTGGCTAATGGATTACGATACAACACAGTGATTACTAATCTCTTTTCATCTATATTATGTCTTTACCTGCACTGTTTCATATAGACACACGTGAGACTAGATCTAGAACGGAATCAAATCGGAGATATTGGAGCACAACATCTGGCTGATGCGTTACAACACAACATAGTAATTCTCATTCTTTTTTTATTTACACAATGTCTTTACCTGCAGCTTTCCATCTAGACCCTCACCACACTGGATCTTCAACGTAATAAAATCGGAGACGTTGGAGCACAATATTTGGCTGATGCTGTAAGACACAGCACAGTAATTCTCATTCTCTCTTCATCCATATTGTAGCTTTACCAGCACTTTCTCATCTAGATACTCACAACACTAAATCTTAAAAATAATAAAATCGGAGATGTTGGAGCACAGCATTTGGCAGATGGATTAAGATATAACACAGTAATTCTCATTTTCTTTTTATCAGTATTATGTCCGTGTCTACACTGTTTCATACAGACACTCATCAGACTAGATCTCGGATGGAATCAAATCGGAGATGATGGAGCACAACATTTAGCTAATGCATTACGACACAACACAGTAATTATCATCCTCTCATCATCTACATCATGTCTTTACCTGTACTATTACACATAGACACTCGCCACACTACATCTTGGGTTGAATAAAATCGGATGTGTTGGAGGACAACATTTAGTTGATGGATTACTACACAATACAGTAATTTTCAATCTCTCTTCATCTATGCCATATCGTTCCCTACACTTTTCCATACAAACACTCACTACACTAAGTGTCGAACTTAATAAAATCGGAGACGCCACCAGACGTGAGATTAATGAATATGTTGCAGGCAATGAAAGAGCAAGAAATTATATTTCGACATGGAATATGAGTTAGTGAGCGTCATGCAGATATTTTTCTTGTAGTGTAATTTTTACAAATACCATAAAAAAAGCTGCTTAGTTTTAACTTAATCTGCGTTCTACCGATAATGTTTACTTAGACTTCTGCTATCTGGTGAGGATGATAATGTTTCAGAACAAACAAAGAGATTTGTGAAAAGGTATTTCATGACTCTGCAACACGTGCGAAAATAGGTTTATGTTGTGTATAATAATAGTAAACTCTTAAAGATTTTTTCAGTGAAGCAGAAAAGGGTGCTACCTGATAATATGAAACGAGAGAAAATTTTCTGCAATAATGCGGAACCGTGGGTATGAGTTTTGGATTTAAGATTGATCTCATCAAGCTGTCGTACATACACGTCACACTCACATATTAGCCAAATGTGTTCATATTTGAACCACTGATAATGGTTTGTTGATAGTTCACATTCATTAAAGAAGGGTTATGACAAATTGTTTTGAAGTATTGACAAATGGCTTGAACAACGATATATAACCATCACAAGTTATAAAAGCATAATAATGTAGTTTTGTCAACAAATTCTTGTTGTTTATGCTTGAAAGCTTGAAAGTATACTGAATAACTTGCTATACATCTGTAGTATAAATATAAGCCTTAGCAACAATATTGCGAAGAATAAATCGAACGATTTTATCCCATTTATTTATTAATGAAGGTGATAAATATTGACTTTTTATAATCTGTAAAAGTTACAAATTTCTGCTCAAGTTATTTGTGAATAATTTAGAATGATGAACTACCAACACTCTTTTATGAGTGGTAGGAATATTAACCTATTTCGTTGAAATATAGTGAAGATATTCGAAGTATTCATCCTCCAATGATTTACTGGAGGCCCAATATTCCTCTGAGCAAAAATATTCCTTCTTTTTGTTTCAGTATTATTATACTTTGCATTGAATTTATTGTCGAATAATGATAAGCCATGAGAGTTTTATTTCACTATGATAGGCATACCAAACCGAAATAAAACTTGCATTTCTTATCTTTACTGGTCAATAAATTTAATACGATGTATTATGAGACTAAAGCGAAGAGGCGAAAGACTTTTATTCAAAGATGTATATGTTAGAGGATGATATATATCATCCTCTCACCATTTTCTTTTTTTCTTTTCTCTTTCCACATATATATCTTTTCTTTTTTTTCTGTTCTTCTCACATATGTGTACATATGTCTTTGTTCCGTTTACATATGTTCACATATGTGAGTCATCCTTGGTCTTGTCATTTCTATCATCATGTCCATTTCATCGTCTTTTTCTTTCACCTCGTTCATTTCATCGTCTCTTACATTGCATCATTTTTTTCTTTGTGAAGCTGGACGATCGTTGTCCAGCTTCACTTTTGTTACGCTGTACTATATATAGCGCTGTTTTAGTTTGAATAAAATCATCACTATCATCACATCTCCAGCTTCACATCTAGAGTCAGTCACGTCGAGTTACACGCTCACAGTATATCACTTAGAAAAAAATTTCTCATCAACAACTCAGTACAAAAACATAGTAAGTAATCGCATGAACAAAAATTTCTGTTTAGACGTATTTTCATACAAATAATATTTGCTGTTCTCATCCTTTCTCCTATATAAGGGTTTGTTCGATGTGAGACGAAAACAACTAGTATGACAAAGTTGTGTGAATCATATCTATTCCAAAGATGATGATAATGCTACTCATCCATTTTGTCGTTTTTTATTAAATAAAATAAGCATAGTTATAGAATGGGACGAAACTGTCCCCCTTCTATTCCGCATCAATTCATCATATTGACACGAGATTCGTCTTACCTAGCTTGCATATAGAAGAATTTATTACTTCATTGATTGCATTGCTTTTGTTTCTTAGGAAGTTGTATCCGTTCTTTTTCGTGTTTCAAAAAAAAAGTTTTGTTACGAAACGAGTATTGCATTGCACATTGATAAGCCGTTATTTAACTCAATGAGTTCATTGTCGTATCCTACCTTTTTATTTTTCTCTAGAAGTATGAAATAGCTTAATAAACATTATCGTCAAAAGCATCGGTCAGTCACTATAATCTATATTATGATGTATCGCTCTAGTAAAGACGCTTGTTAATAAAGAGAAAGTTGAGACCGAGACATATGAAGAATGAAATATCTTATGTTTTATGCATTTTCTCAAGTCTTCATTTTGCTTCAATTATGTATAGAAAAAAGGATACCCTCAACCACCAAGAAGCTCATATATTTCAATCGTCTTTTAATGATTTTAGGAGACACTCGAACAGTTGAAGTCACACCTCAAGACTCTCGAACGACTGTCACTAGTAATAGTTCGGAAATGGAAAATATCGATGAAGGACAATCTGACAATGTTATCAAGATTCCAAAGATTGAGGAAAACATTTTAAAACAGTTTACTCGCGAAGAGGCTATGAATGACGCCGAAAACTTTGCAATAGAACATGGCCTAGTGGAACATACGTCCCTCTTTCGTCGTGCTGCACTAGCCGCTCGCGATGGTGACAAGTATGAATCGATTCCCGAGTTAACTGAAGAAGACCGAACGGCACTATTTAACGAGATTCATCATCGATGGAAGCAACCGTGGGCTCTCTATTTCATCGCAGCTGTTAATGCTATGGCAGCTGTCGTGCAAGGAATGGATGAGACCGTTGTCAATGGTGCTCAATTGTATTACTTTGAAGAATTCGGAATCACTAATAGCTGGCTTCAAGGTCTTATTAATGCTTCACCATATCTTGCTTGTTTCACAATTAGTGTTTGGATGACTGAACCGATGAACAACTTTTTCGGTCGTCGCGGAACGATCTTCATAATGTGTATCGTTGCTGCTGTCACATCGATTTGGGAAGCTGTCTCACATTCTTGGGTCAACCTAATGATCGCTCGTTTCTTCCTCGGTATTTCTATTGGTGTCAAATCCACTACTGTGCCCATATATACTGCCGAATCATCACCACCAGCTATTCGAGGAGCACTGACTATGCTTTGGCAAACATTTACTGCTTTCGGTATTATGCTTGGTTATATTATGGACGTCGCATTCGTCAATGTCCGCCCAGACATATACCTCAATTGGCGTCTTATGCTGGGAAGTACTTGTGTCGCTCCAGTTGTAGTTTGCTGCATGGTCTGGTTTGGACCTGAATCTCCTCGTTGGTACATGAAGAAGAACCGTTGTTCTAAAGCTTTTCAATGTCTTCTCCGTCTCCGGGGGGTGCCTCTTCTAGCCGCTCGTGATCTTTACTACATGCACGTCAATATTCGCGTCGAAAAGAATATGAAGGCTGGTCGCAATTTGATGAAAGAAATGTTCAACATTCCTCGTAATCGTCGCGCTGCACAATCTTCTTTTCTAGTCATGTTCATGCAACAATTCTGTGGTGTTAACATTATAATGTACTACTCTTCTGTAATTTTCGTTAACGCTGGTGTTTCAGCTAATACGGCTATCTTAGCTTCTCTTGGTGCTGGTATTCTCAACTTTCTTTTTGCTCTTCCTGCTGTCAAGATCATCGATACTTGGGGCCGTCGTCCACTACTTTTATGGACGTTTCCTATCATGTCAATATGCCTCTTTTTTACCGGTTTCTGCTTTTGGATTGAATCTGAAAGTGTACGACTTGGTCTCGTCGTACTCGGTATCTATCTTTTCATGATTGCCTATTCTCCTGGTGAAGGACCAGTTCCATTTACATACGCTGCTGAAGCCTTTCCACTATATATTCGTGATTTTGGTATGAGTGCAGCCGTAGCGATAACATGGGGATTTTCTTTCCTCTTGTCAGTTTGCTGGCCTTCGATGTTAATAACTTTCAAGCCTCAAGGTGCATTCTCATTTTATGCGGCATGGTGTCTCATTGGATGGGTAGCCATTTTCTTCATATTACCTGAAACTAAAGGTCGTACTCTGGAAGAGTTGGATCAAGTCTTCAGTATTCCTACACGTACGCATGCCAAATACCAATTACGCATGTTGAGACGCCGAATTGGAAATTTGTTTGGAAGTAAAATAGAAATTCAGGGAGAAGAAACTTTATCTTCAGTCCCGTAGTAAAATTATTCATGTTATTTATAATACATTTTACTTGTTAAATTTATTTTTCAGTATATTTTTTTAATACGATAGTGCGGCTTGACTCTTAACAGAAACTCTGCGAAGTTGTTTTGAAGTATATAGTTGAACCATCTGGATACGTCCTTCGTGTTGATCTTTTTTCATCCATATCTATACTCTTAATTGTTGTTTTTTGTGAAGAATCAATTATTAAGTCAGGTATTGAGAAAGTAGTGAGAAGTTTTTAAATTTGGTAGTATAAAATTATTTCGCTTTTTATTTTGTAATAAAGTATTTCACGCTTTACAAAAAAAACTGAATCGTAATCTTTTAAGCACCGGTACAATACTCAGCAAGGCATTAAATACCAATGAAATATTAAAAAAGGCAATAAAATATGACTTAACTAAAGCTGTAATTTTCTGGAGCATCATATGTATAATTCCACGATAAACTGACTCCTTCCAAAGAAGGATGTAAATTTCCCATTTTTTTCAATCGTTTTTGACGTATTAATTTCGCTGCTGAAAGAGTTGGTAATTGATTTTGTGAAGTTTTAAGAGATGAAAGATCTTTTTTTAATAAAGCACCATCAACACCTGTTAGATTCTAAATAAAAATATTCAATTAAATTAAACGATATCGAAAATAATTCTTCAGAATTATAAATCTATGACATACTTTATTACCAGCTGTTGGATCACCTAAAATCAATTGTTATAATATAATAATTCGATCATAAATCATAGCTCATACCTGGTTGTTCTATTTGACATTCATCTTGATGAAAAGCATCCCATCCTGTTGTTTTACATATCTTAGAACAAAAATAAACGTTTCCACATTCTTTACAGGGTGTAAGTCGAACACCTGTACTACGACCACATGTAGCACAAAAATGAAAATCATTATTCGGTCTTAAATAATCAATCGAGTAAGGTATGAGACTTTATTAAATTTACTTAGAATTTGTTTGACCAGATTTGCCGTTTGATGAACGAGTATTCGTATGTGTTCGTTGTGAATATGTATGTCCTCTCGTTATTCCAGTTGGATGTTCTGTTGATTATCAAAGAAAAGTAAAATAGATAAAATTTTATAAAGATTTTTCTTACCAGGTATTGGTACATTCAATAAGTCCTTATCTTTTGTCACTTCCTCACGAAATCGTTTCGCTACCTGAGCAAGTAATTCTTTTCGTTCTTTATATATAAGTCGTTCGTCCGGTGATAATATATGATATGGAGTTTGAGCTATTCGAGTATCCTATGAATGAAATATAATTTTCTCATGAGAAATTATTGTAAAAATTAATTTACAGCAAAAAATGAGTAGTAAGCATAATCGACGGATGAACCTGATATTTGTTTGACACTAAATCGAACAGGATAAAGTACTTTTGGAGTTTTGTCTACCATTCGTTCAACCTAAATTAAGATTGTTAAAAAATATGAAAATAATCTTTAGTTTTTAACTAATTTAAACGTACCAATTCTAATCGTTTATTATGAGTCCATCGAGATTCATAAGCAGTTGATACAACAGTACATAATGCATTTCCATTTCCTTCTCCAAGTGAAATAGATGGATCTGTTCCTTCATACTCGATAAGTGTATCAACTAATGATTCATTTCCCATAGAAATAGCAAGTGAAAGTGGTGTCTGACCATTACATACAACATTAGGATTCGCTTGATGTTTAAGTAAAAGACGAACAATAGATAATGTATCTTCAGTTGCTTCTCGTGTACATGCTATATGTAAAGGAGTACGACCATGTTGTTGACTTGCCTATAAATTTATTAAATAAAACTTTGTCTTCAATAGTATATAAAACTTATTTACTGTTTTAAAAGTATCACGAACGGATAAATCGGCAAGTGATAAATATTCTTTATCAACTGGTGATGATTCTACATTAACTTCAGCTCCATGTTCTAATAATAGTCGAACAATATCAAGTGCAGTTGGTACTAAACAACCACAAGCAATATGTAATGGAGTTAGATTCGCATGACGTATAGGATTTAATCGACAATTAACTTGAGCTTTTTTCTTCAGTAATATTTCAACCATTTCTTTATCACCTGCTCGAATAGCTTCAGCTAAAACTGGTAGTGGCCAATCACTAAGTGAAGGATCAGCACCACGACGAAGAAGAAGTCTAATTATGATATTAGTTATTAAAAATCTTTCTTATCAAAAACAATCGACCTCATAATCTTTCCTTCCAGAAATTATTCAATATCTACTAATCTATGTTCTACAAAGTCAATATAGTTTCTCTCTTAAACACATACTTGATAAGTGTATGAACTGATTCTCGAAATTGCCCATCTCGCATACGTTCACGAAGAGTATCCGTCAATTCATATCCATAACAATCTATTTATAATTTATAGAAACATATAACAAATAAATTCTTACTTTTATTTTCTCTGTTATTGGATTTACTTGATTCACCAGAAGGTCCTGATTTATCTTCATCTGGTATACTTATTTCACATACTGATTTTGTTGTTGTTGTTGTATTATCTTTCGGACTTGATTGTCTTCCTTCCATTGCGGATGTTGATTTCGAATTTAAAATAATTTCATCGGAATGTTCTAAAGCTGTATTAATTGTTTCTTGTGGATCATTTCCATAGTAAAATAAAAAGGCAATAGCAAGTGGTGTTAATCCATCATCTGTTAATTGATTAACATTAGCACCAAAATCAAGGAGTATATTTATAGCATCCATATGAATATTATGTGTAGCAAAATGTAATGCAGTTAAACCTCGAGAATCACAAACATCAACATAAGTTTGATTATGTAAAAGAAGATCACGAATTTTTTTAAATTCACCATTATATGCTAATTCTAATAGAACCAATGACGACTTTTCCAATGGTCCAGGATCTGGAAAAGTTAAACGATTATCTAAATAAAAGAAATTAGAAAATTAAATTTCAAACTATATATATATTTCTACTTGATAAAATTTCATCAATAGGATATGTTGCTTGCTGTTTTAATGGTAAATATTTATTTGTATGATAAAATAATTGTTGTTGTTCATATGTTTCATTTGGTATTGGAATATCCACCATTCTTTCATTAAAAACTTTCTCATCTAATATATTTTCATCATTAAAATTTGATAGATAAGCATCAAGTTGTGCACGTTTTTCATGCATAACTTTTTGAACTTGATCCGCATGTTCAATTAAATATTGAGTAAATGTCGAATTTTCATTTTCAATATTTTTACATAATAAAGCATTTGGTTTCTTATTTAAAATATAATCAAAATCAATTATAGTTGAAAGTAATTCATAAGGTGAATACCATGATTGTAACATACATGAAGAATCAGTTCGAGGTTTTTTATCAATTATATGAATATCCAAATTAAGTGTCGGATGTGGATAAACAAGACGAACAAGATCATCACTCAACCAGAAACCTACATCAGCACATTGAGAAGATTGATACATTAAAATACCTGGACCAAATCGTTCATCATGACGATAAAGACCCTATAAGAAAAATATATTTTATGTACCTTTTAATTGAAATTAAAATTTAATATACTTTAAATTCGAAAATTTCTGGATTTTGAAAACTACCAAAACCATGTCGTTTATCAGCATAAAATGCACCGGTATATGTTTGTTTATCTGGCCAGGATAAAATACCTGTACCATGTTTCTTTTCGGCATATATATCACCAACATATTTCTTTACAAAAAAACAATTACATTTTTATGTTAAATTTTATTTACTTACATATTCATCTCTTATAGTTGTGCTTTTTGGCCGTTGTTTACGTCTATTTATTGATATTTTATCTTGGCTAACATCAGCTGATTCTTTTTCAATTGCATTGTTATTTCTATCGATAGTTATTTTCGTATTAGACTCATCTTCATTAATATCTTTTAATTGTTCTCGAGTTTGACTGCTTGCTGATTTTCTTGCAACTGTAGTCATTTTTCTTATGCCAAGTAATAATGAATCAAAAGAAAAAATTAAACTGAAAAGATCAGTGAACAGAACACAAATAAAAAAATATTTCAAGTTTTGTTTATAATCAAACACTTCGTATAAGTGTGTCTGCTGAGAGCATAGAAAAAATACATGGTAGCCATTCACAGCTGTTGATGCCTAGGAAATCAAATATTTATTTCATACCAGCGAAAGAATCAATAGATGCCGCAAATTTATTAATTTTAATTGAAAAAAATCTTTTTTTTTCTTCTTCATATATCAAATATTTATTCTACTCTAAAGATTGTATTGATATACTCAATATATTTAAAATAAGAAGACTTTTATTATACTGTATATGTCATCTGTTATATATCGTATGCAATGTACATAATTGAAAATTTAATTTATTAGAGAGTTTTATTCTTTAACCTTGAAGGTCCTTACAAAGACAATCTAATTTCTTACCAAAAGATAAATCATTTATCGTCTAAAGTATTGAACTTTCAGACATTACAGCGCTTGTTAGAACTCTAGCGAAAAAATTATTTAGATAGGACGTCCGCCATGGGAAAAGTCAGGACCCTGTAATGCATGTTGCCAATAAAAAATTTTGACTGTCCAAGTGTGCTATAATGTAAGACCTTGACGATATTCATATAAATATATGTTATAGTACTTATTCTTAATTATATATATAAATAACCATCTGAATGACTTGTATTGATAAAAAAATGAAACTTAAACATTCATTAATTTAAAGAATCCTTGTTTATATTATGAAGTATGTTATGAAGATATTTTTTTATTTTCTATATTTTAATATGATGTCATTAAGTTTGTTACGACCTTTTTCTTATAACTAATGTCTAATATGTTTAACTTGAGAAAATAAATATGAATAGATTATTTTATTCGTTTAAAAATAAAATATAAAAACAAATATTCATGAAGATCGAAAAGGAATTCTAAATTTACAAAATAAAAATTTCTTTAATTCTTCTCGAAATATTTGTCCTGTAAGTGTAAAAATATAAAATGATATTGAACTATTCATTAAAGATACAAGTACAAATAAAGTATCAAGAATTTCTTCTATACGTTGTTGATCATATGATTTTTCATTATTTATCGTTATTTGACTATAAATATTTTGTATAGAAATTGGTAATGAAAGAATAATAGAACAAATAACTTGTACGAATAGCATAATAGCCATTTGTTTTGGTGTTTTTTTCTTATTGTTTTGCATTTTTAAAAGTATATTCTGTGTTGGAGTTAGACGTTGTTGACTACGTCGTACATTACAAATAGTTAATGATCCAAATATTAACATGAGCAAGCAAGGAAAAAAAGAATAAGTGAAAAAAAGAGCAAAACTATTATACCATTGACATATAGCAGATATAGTAAAACAATTTGCTGACGTTGAATCATATGTACCATTAAAACAATAAAACATCTGACCATAAATAAGATATATAATAAAAGTTAAACCAATAATAACACGTTTAGCTATTTTAACATTACTAAACGATCGTATTCGTGTATTTCTACAACTTGATGCCCATCGATCAATACAAGCACCGATTATAAGCCAGATTGATAAAGATAAACTTCCGTAGATTAAATATGAACGTGTTTTACAATAGATAGCCAATGCAATTGTGGTTTGAGGACCAATATTAAATGTAGTTAAAACACGGGTAAGACATCCCATATAAAGAGCAATGAAATTTGCACATGTAGATGCAAGAAAATACCATGAACAAGGAATTGGTCGAAGTTTTGGACGTATGAAAATACAAATATTACATGTATTACCAAATGTACCAAGTATAAGTAAAATAATACAGAAGTAACGATTAAGATTAGATTCAATTATTTCATATTTAGTTGCCGATGATGTTGACATGTTTGTAATATTAGAAAAGTGCAACGGTTATTTTTTTTTTTTTCATCATTACTTTGAAATGTTTTTCTATAGATGAGAAAGAATAGAAACAGGAAAAAAAAGTACTTTCATTATTAATTTGAAGAATATTCTGACTCGTTATAGATCTCATCTTTAATTATGTTGATACAGCTTAGAATACCTTGATTATATAAACTAAATCTTCTTTTAGACATATTTAGTTAAACTAAATAAATAAACGCATGAGAAAAAGATTCATTATATCAATTTTTCAATTATATAAGCCATTCCTGATATTGAATATCTTGAACAAGATAGTTGGTTATGATTGTCGGTAATAATACTTATTAAACATAAACACGAAAAAAAGCAGTACAAGAAGATAAAATAAAGTGAAAATGATATATCTAGTATATTAGGTATTCTAAAATAATTGCAAAATAGCTTGTTTTTCGAATATTTCTGTGCCGATATATATATATTATAGAATCTTACTTTTTTCTTGAAAAATGTATCATTCAAAACTCTAGAAAAATTTGATAAATAAATTTCTATTGTAGATAATAATCAAAAGAATAAGTTAAGATTCTATTATTTATCTTTTTAGAAATATATTTATTTAACGTTGAAGTTTATCGAACCCTTTAGAAACGATAGTTTTGTCAAGCATACATACAAAAACGTAGTATGGTAAATCCCAGAACTATTCTAATGTACTATCAATATCATATTGAGAATGAAGAATTGAATCCATGTTAGCATAAATCATTGAAAGATTATCTAATTGAATATCAATTGCTTCTTCATAAAGAGCAAGATTAATATGAACCTAAACGATGTCAATCAATTGAACTAGATGTTTGATTAAGAAAAACAAAAAATCAATTTTCATGTTTTATTTTATAATTACAATTGAAAAAAAATGAAATAAAAAGAAATATAATATCTTGATTAAAAGAATAAAGTACATTAAAATGTTTATAGATCAATCTTGGCAATACGACGTACAAGTTCATCAAAATTGTAATGAGTTTTGACCGTTGTTGATGGTGATGATGATGCATCTGTTATCACGCCTGTTTTTTCTTCGTTATTGATTAAATCAGGTGTTAAAACCATAACACAATGTGCGAACCAATTCTTTGGTTTCACAAGTAAACAACCTTCACGTTGTAACTATAATTATAGATTTATAAGAAATAAATAAATAAAAAGTATATTTTATCAACTTACAAGTACAGCTAAAGCTCGATCCGATGTAATAATAATTGTACGTTTGTTTTTTTCCTGATTTTCAGGTCGACGAACTATATCTACTAACATATCATCAGTTGTTTTATATGTTGGTTGAGCACTTGTAACTTTAACTGTATCAATTTGATCTAACTGACTTGCTGAATCATAAATAAGCTCAACATTTGGTATATGCATCTGTTGATTCCATGCTGCAGCTATTTCTCCTATAGCACGTTCAGTTTTTTTACCAGCTCGATTTAAACATAAACGACGAAGAGAATCAACAACAAACATCATATTATTTCCATCAAGATAAACTTGTTCAATATCACGTGGCCAATCTTCTCGTTGATTTATTTTTATATACGCATTATGAATATCAGCTACTGAAGCTCGTTCTTCTCGATGATGACAACGCTTATGTTTTTTTTCTTGCATTCGAGTTTGTGTTAATTCAATTGAATCATTACATTCATGAAATGTTGCCAATACTCTTCTTGGATTACCATGTACACCAGCTAAGCGAAGTTTCTTAAGATTTTCAAGATCATCCGAACTGAAATCATGTCGTTTTCTACATGTTGATCCTGATTCATTACCTTCTTGTGTTGTTATTGTTGGTGATGTATTTCGATGTTTATGACGACATTCTTTTCGTTTGAGATGCTTTTCTTGTCGTTCTTGTGCAAATTGTTTAACAACATCGATGTCTCCATTTGATTTTTCTAATAAACATGCTAAAATTCGTTTATTTTTTATTGAAAAATCTTCAGCTTCAAGTTGAGCAATTTGATTTGCATATTTTGTATAAAGTTCAGCAAATTTTGCCTTTCTTTCTGTACAACGGGATTTCATTTCAATGACCTATTATTGACATATTCTATTTACTATCTTTATATTTTAAAACACAAAACTTACCTTGTTAACATCACCTTCATGTTTCTCCAATACTCGAAGTATCCATGGACGATCTACATTGATGCCAGAAGTAGCTAATTGAGCTAATTGACTGGCATATTTTGTTTTTAATTCTTCTCGTCGTTGACATCGAGATATACTAGTATCTCGATCTTTATGACAACGTTTTGTTTCACGTTCTTGTATGAATTTGTTAACTTTTTCAATGTCACCATCAAAACGTTCCATTGTTTTCAATAAACGGAAACGTTTAAATGATTGAATTGATGGATGTTCCTGTTGTAATGTTGTTATTGCTGGACCAAAACGTGTTTCAAGTGACTCCCATTTATTACAACGTGCTTCACGTTGACTAAGACGTGCACAAACCTGATTAAGAAATATATATATATATATATAAGAAATATATTATGCTAAAATATAATTTTTAATTTAGTTTTTTTTTTACGTTGATATATGAATATCAAACAACCTCCATTCCCCCGCATGAGAGGCATTAGCGGGCAATATAATTTATATTTTAAAGTAAAAAAGAACTATACCTTATCAAAATCTCCACCATGGCGTTGTAAGACACGAGTTAATTTGTTTTCGTTGATATGTGGAAAACGTTCCTTGAGCATGGTTAATTGTTCAGTATTTTGTTGTTGTTGTTCGTTTGTAGACATGTTTGTTTTGTATAAAGAATAATATGAATAGAAAATAGCAGAAAAAACATCCCTTTATATACTGAAGAAATGAGTAATCTTTGTAACTTACGCAATACAGGTGAAATACTATTACTAATTCTCTTCTTAGCCAATCAAAAAACTTTTGTCGACGTGGCAAACAATTATGCTATCTTACTCATACACGATGACTCATTCAGATAAACATTTTGTACTTATGAAAACTTTATGAGACAAAAGGTCAACGATTTATCATGATTAAAACACTAGAATTTTCTTATTGTTCTAGAAGATTATGAGTTATCTTTGTCAATGATGTAGTTGCAACACTTCGTACCGATTGTATATGATTCATCATCTTTTTAATACTATATCGATAGAAAACTATTAAATAATAAAAACCTGTTTGAACATTTGAAATACATAAATAGAATAAAGATAAAATAAATTCTCTAAAATAGATGCGATCTGTTCTTTAAAAAAAAACCAGAAACGATACATTTATTCATAATGCGATAAAATGTTTTGTTGAATTAATACTACTTCGAAGGTATGCAATATATTTATTCAATAAACTAATATTGAAATCTAATCAAATGGTAATAAAATTTTCAGCAACAGCATTATAAATCGTTATCGAATTTGAAGAATCTTTTTTTCATGTGATATCGAAATATTTTATCGGTATACGAATAATGCTTTATTTATATTTTACGCACGAGTACATTGTTAAGTTAGAAGAATATTTTAAAACTTATCATTTATAGTATCAAAGTTTTTTTTCTCGCTATTTTTCAATACATATTGTATAATAAAAATCTTAAAGTTTATTTTTATATCATATTAAAGTAAAATAAAAATGAAAGTTTTGAATTTCTTTTTTTTTTATTAAGATCGTCCAACTAATTTTGTATTAATAATTGCTGTTGAAATATCAACTTGAGCTATTGGCATATCATCTTTATCAAATCGTATCATTTCAGAACCAAACGAACCAAAAACTTCAAGACATTTTGGTTTTGGACAAAATATACGACGTACAACATAACAAGGCCATGCACATATCAATGTCATCCAAAGAAGAAAGAAAAATGTTGGTTGTTCACCACGACATTCACGCATTTGATCAATATTATGTAAAAAAATAGCCGAATCGGTATGTGCAGGATCAGAACATCCTCCACAACACATATATTCTTGATATCGTGTAAGAAGTCGAATATCTGTAAGAACTGTATAATAACCATTATTACAACAACATAGATTATCTTTATATTCCCATTCACGATAGACTTTTTCACTTGGTAATAAAGCAAAACTATTATTTATTGGACGTAAATAAGCTTGTTGAGGTTGTTGAGTTTGAACACGAGTTGGTACAACAGTCCTAAATATATTAATAAGAATAAATGCTTGACAAGAAAAAAAACAAAGATTTTCTTACATGTTTCGATATACTGTGTTGTATAAAGAAAAGAATTAAATAGAATGAGGTGCAGTTGATGAATTTTAATTTAATAGAATAATAATGGCTTCATCTATTTGATTTTCTTTTCTTTTTTGTATTCTTCAATGATCATATGATGAATTCAAATACATAACTATAACTTTATATTGATTGATTAAAAATAAGAAATAGAATGGTAGGCGTTTTTATTTTTTATGTATATTTTATTATAATAATAATAATAATTGAAATATTTTTTTGTATCGATTAAGTACAAAGGCAATATCTCGTGTTTTACTCAATTTCTATTTGTTCTCTAAATCAAATTACTGATAGAATACTTAGAATATCTGAAATATCACGTCATGCAATCGATAACACAACATCAGTTAAGGAAGCTCTTAATTTAGTCATATAGTTCATAATAACGCTTCAAATGTAAGGAAAATTGTTTCTCGAAGGATCGACCATTCTTCCAATAAACAACTATTACATTAGTTTAATTAATTTATTATTGGCATAATAACTCGCTGTCGTCTTAGCAAGCAAAACATTCTACGAATTTTAGTTTTAAGTGTTGGTATTGATCCACAACAAATAAATGGAAAAGTAAACGTGGTATAATAACTAAATAAATACGCATATGATATTACTATTCTTTCTGTATCTATGGGTAATCCAAATACATAACAAAATTGTAAGAATACCCATGGCATTTGAAAAAATAGATAAATTATTGCGATTGATAAAATTTGAACAGCTAATTTTCGTTGTTGTCGCCATTGGATAGAGCGATTTAAACGAGTTTTTTGCCATAGAATATGTACGAGAAGTCCTATACTTAAAATAACAATATTTAATGTTGGAATGAATTGATGAAATACAATATCTAATTTTGAAAATATTGGATCAAAATATATACAAGGTACGAATACACCATTAATCGTTAATTGATAATTGAAATCTTGACAAGATGGATAAAATATAACAATATTATAATAACGATAATGAAATATAAGAATATGTCTTTCTATTGTTGCCCAAGAAAATAGTAACAATTGTATTGTATAAAATCCAAAATCAATAAATGTCCAAAAACGAGCAAATATAAGATTGACTTGCCAAGTACGATCAACTCGATAATAATGAAGAATAAATGAAATATCTGTTAATTCATAAATCAAATTTATTAATAGAAGAATAATAATAACATGATTATATAAAGCTCCGCGAAGATTTCGATAAAACAGAAGATAGTACAAAACAAAAAGGCAGCATAAAATCGATAAGATATTGGAAAATAAAAAAGTCCAAAATAGGATAATCGAAGAAATCACCACGTTGAATTGTGAATCAGATAAATCTTCGCTTGAATTTGACATTAAATAATAAAAGTAAAGAGAATTTCCTCGAGAAAGAAAATGTTCTTTTTTCTATGACTTCGTTTGTCTACTTAAAAATTATTTATCTTCAAAAGTTCACTGTGTAATATCCATTATCTAACTACAACAGATATATATATATCCGCATTTATTAGTTCTTTTGTATGAAAAGAACAATATAATTTCATAAGAGAAAAAAATTGAATAGGTATTTAATGAATAAATAAAGTGAGTCTATAAGAAACTAAACTTTTATTCAACTCAGCCATAGTCAAAGATATTTGGTACTTCATATATAAAGTGGATGTAGATGTGACTGTGTGTTTGATAATTACTTATACCTATACCTACATTCGCACTCTAATTCTTTTAAAATCGTCTGTTTAGATTTGTAGACTATCAATTTTTGAAATAATTTTATTTGAATACATTCATAGAAAAAATTAGCGATAAATTAGTTCACTAGATAAAAAAACAATTGATTAATGACAATTTTGACAATTTGGTACACAAAGTTTTCCATTGTCCACACGACATCGACAACCACCAGTTGTATCACCACGTCCTTTCGGACCCCAACGAGGACCTTGTGTTGGCCACTAAATAAAATGATAAAAAAAGATCTTTTTTTTAAATAAAGATTTGTCTAACACAAATTTCTATTTTGCATTGAGTACATTGAATCCAATCGCAACCAGCTGCTTTTTGAATTATAACACGACAACCAGGACTAATACATACATATAGATAGAAAAAAAGATATTCGAAAAATTCATACCAATACATAGCTTCTTTATTTTTGATCATCAACTACATATTAAAAAAAGGTAAACATTAAATAAATGAACTAAATATGTTTTTTTTTCCTAATTTTACATACTTCTAAATGTTCTATATCTTGTCGAACAGTACTATCATTTGCTTCTTTCAATTTTTTCATATCTTGATATTCACTACCTGCATATAAAATAAATCTATAAACTTATTTGAGAAATATCGTAAACTTACAAGTTTGACCTTCATGTATAACTGAACAAGCTAAACAAATCCAATGTTTACAACCCTATGAAAAGACAAACTGAAAAGAAAATTCAGTCTCATCGTTAGTCTTTAACAATTACATTACAAAATATAATATCATTAGCATGTTCTGGTTCTATGAACCACCAATGTGTACAATCAGGTGTAATACAATGAAATGTTTTATTGCGACTTTCAGCAAAACGCATACCAACATCATGAAGACGATCAATTATTTTTTGATCAGCGTTTAAATCGCTAACAACCTAAAATATCATATAAAATCTTATGAAACTGTAAATAATTTTATTTAATTCTTACACCTCGAAGTTCTCTTTCTTCTAATAATGCAGTACAATCATCATGTGGACATTTAACTATTGGTTCAGTATTCGTTTCAATTAATCGCAAAAGACATGGTTTGCAAAGTGAATGAAGACAATTACGAAATAGAATACCTTCATTTTTCTCAATTGTATCAAAACAAGTTATACATTCAAATGGTTCATCATTTCGATAATAAGGTTTTTCATCTTCTGTAGATAATTCATGTAAGAATTTTCTTGATTTTTCTTGATTATTTAATTGTGATGAATAATTAGTATCATTATCATTAACAATAAGAAATTCTTCCAGACATGTTCGTAATATTTCATGGAATTTATCACGTGAATTTCTATTTAACCATATTCGACATATTTCATTCTTTCCATTGAGTATATCAGGTTGTTCAATTGATAATGCGAAAACATATTGATTGCGATTTGTAAGTGGCCAATTGAAAATTTCCTGAAGAAATAATAATTATAGAATTATATATTTAATCTATAATATATTCTTACAAATTTACGATTATTTAAATCAATAGCACGTAAATTATAATCACCAATATCATATTGACGTAATTCTATTAAGCATCGATCGAAATTGATAGATTTATTTGTTAATGAATTGAATTGAATACGACATTCACTATAAACTTCTACACTCATATTATCTAATTTACAGAAAGAAAGTATCGTAGAAAAATATGAAATCAAAAGTAACCCAAGGTGTGAATCAAAACAACATAGTTTTAATATGACAACACCCACATCTAAAACATCATAAAGAATAACTATTCAGTTATATTAAGAAGATTGCATTTAAAAAACTTCTTCTAATACTTCCAGTTAATAGATCTTAATGAATAGAATAAAAATTTTGTACAAAAAATACTACTAGATTTAGAAGTAATCTATCATCTCTCACAGATGACATGTGCGCTGGGATGTTTACTAATCTCTTCGATAGAGAACATCGTGAAAGGAATACATGATTTTTTAAATGATGTAAAAATTTGGCTTTGAGAAAATCCTGATAGTGCACAAAAAACTATATATTTTTGTAAATTTTAAATTACGATCTTCAATAATAAATAGCATCTTATAAATTTATCTAAGAAAAAAACGAGACAGCATTAATTATAACTTACGATCTATTTGATCACTGATCTTTTCAAATTTAATATAAAGTGAATCAAGAATGAATTTGGAAAAAATTACTTGTTTTTTTTATTCATTACAAAATGTAAGCAAGTAGAGAATGTATTCTTTCGTCAATAGAATAGTAAACGACATTTTCAATGTTGATACTATAACAGCGTATAGAACGCAAAAGAATAATATTATAAGGCAAAAAGGAATAGAAAGAGAATAACAACATGCGAGTGGTGACTAATACTATTTACCTACTTATATCTTTTTCTCTTTTCTTCCAACATCAATAATAACCAACAAAATATTTATTAGACTATTCGATACTTATATATTCAACGTCAAGAAAAGTATTATAGCTTTTTTGACATCATCTTAAACTACCGTTAAGATCAGTCTACATATAGTTATACATATACAGGATTATGATTATTGTTATTCTATGATCAGCTGTAAAGTAAAGTAAATCAAATAATTCGTTTTAATGCATGAATTTTTATAGTCATTATTGTTCAATAAAAAACAATCATTTTTTCTTATAAAATCATAATTATTTCAACTCAAAAAAAGTCGAAAATATATGATTTTGTTATTAATCCAAAGAGACCATGGAGTTCGATCGTCACGTCGATTAATACAAAGTTAAATGACTCGATCTGTAATTGTAACTTGATCTTTCTATTAAATTTGATACGAAATAAATTTTAGACAAGAATATCAAGACCATTGGCACATCCTATAGTATAGTCATAAGTATTAAATTTTCAGTAAAAATAACATAACAATCTGAACGTCTGTTATTAGATAAACAATAGCTTTATCTTTTTAATTTAAAAATATATAAATATTGAGAATACGTATATTATAAGTCATTGTTGTCGTTCTCACGTTGAATAATAATTATTTTTCTTTCATTTACATTTATCTTGCTGAAAATTTCTCTTAAAATATAATCTAAAGACTTTAATATTCAGTAGTTACTTATCCAAGATGTTTCGCAAGTGCATCAAATTCAACTATTTAATATTTTAACGAGAATAGAGACTTATCTATATGTAGATTTGAATCAAATTCGAGAAAATTCAAAACAAAATATGAAATTTGTTATTGGTACCGATACGTACCTTTCACTAATAGTGTTTAATGAAATTTCTCTATGGATACTACCATAAGTGATTATCATATATTTCAATTGAATTGTAGCTTAGTATATGGATCAATTCTTTTTATCACTACTCGCTTTTTTTACAATAATAGTTTCTACTGAAATGCATTTCGTAAGATTAAAAGTGATTACCTATATTATGTTTCCCGAATGAAATGAGTCAGAATTTTGAAAGGAAGACACGAATATCTGCTTCTTCAATAGCTTTGAAATTTTATTGATGTGAAAAATGCCACGTGACTACATGCCTCCTTCTTTATCTTTTTATTCTTATCGTATTGTACCTTAACATAGTATCACATAAATTTGTGGGTATTTCGTTCTACTTCTATGGTTTTGATGCTCATGTTCACGCTGACCAAACAGTAGTAAATGTTTAGAATTATTTTTATAAGCACTTCTCAATGTAACAATAAAAAGAGCAAATTTAAAGACAAAACTAATTTTTAATGTGTATTGTAATATGGTACAATACATTATTATGACAGAAGCATATTTTCTCACTCAAATATAATATTTTTGTCATATCATAGACGTAAACGAAATAGTATAAAAGCGAGTCTATTGTATGTGAAATAAAGAGAAAAGTTTTAAAAAATGCAACAGTATTAAAACTGACGCTGACTCAAGTAAACTTCAGTAAATTTCTAAAAAACAAATATAATCATCAGAAAATTATTTCATAAGATATTCTAATCGAAGTCTTTGCGTTCTCATCATTATAATAATATGAATATTTTTAATCAAATAATTCAAATATTTGAATTATTTTTGTTTATTAATGATGTCGCTTTAGTTTATTCAAGATATTGGTACAAGTAATTACAGTTTAACTTTTCTTTATATCTTCTGACAATTTTGATATCTTGAGGAAAGATCTTAATAAGATCTGTGGTACAAACACATAAAATCCGATCAAGATATGCTTTCTCAAAAAAAAATTCTTTTTTTAAGATCTTGGCAAGATCTTACTTACAAGATGTTCGACTAGGGTAAACATACACTGTTGGAGTTTTCTTTTATATTCTTATTTTTTTACAAGTATATTTGTAAACGATGGATTATATTTCATATTATTTGACTTTTTTTGCATGAATAAAGAAAAGCAATACTTATCTGTAATAAAGAATATTATGATGTTTAACATAGTATTACTAACTAAAAGATCACGAATAAAAATATTTAACTGAGGATTAAGAAAAAAATATGTTAATATTCTGTAAAATGTGACATTATAGAGATTATTATTGTTTCAAGTCCGATTTTAATAGCTATACATCAGACGTTTGATATTTGTTTTACGTAAATAGTGGTTGTTATTCTATCCGCATCGGTTGATATTCTATCCGTATTGATACTCATCACTTGAAATAAACAACCAGGCATCATTAAAACTTCTTCTTCTTCTGGAAATATTGATAAATGTCCAATATCAAGTGCTGATGTTCGATTGCGAATTTCATAAATAATAATGACAGATATTTTGCTTGTTGATGGATTTAGTGGCATTGAAAAACGCATGGCAACTTCATATGATTTTGATGTTGATAGAAATGCTTTATTTACAAAAAGAGCACCAATTTCATATATTTCGACGTCTTCGTGAGTTATCAGCATACCTCGATATGTTATTCCACGATAATGATAATCTTTCAGTGCAGGATTTCTCATCAATACGCCTGTATAGTAACCACTCCATTTATGACATAGTTTTTTGTATACTTTTTTTGCATTACCTGTTGCCATGTATATATTAAGGTGACGGTAGAAGAAACAATCTAACGTGTAAGCTCTCAACAAAAATACAGCATCATTCTTTTCTTTTGCTTCATTTAAATAGTATCTGAATAATCTAGTTTCTTCTGATTGATCATTTGGTATTATTTCAGCTGCTTCTATCTTTTCCACTGTTTTTCTCACACCACGATCCTTAATACAACCACGTTCTATAGCACGTGCAAGCCACAGGGCATGTTTTTTGTCGAAGTACCAGACAACTTTTTCACCTTCTTTCGATGGACGTACACCATAATGCTTTTCTATTTCTTCTGGCATATGATGCATACGACGCATACGAGTAAAATTTTTAGAATTTTCTGTAGTTGGTACTGGCGATCTCGGTATATGTTTATTTTCAGCATCTGCTGTATTGGAAGATCTATTGTCAGAAGTACGATCACTTTCTGAACGATGATCCGAGCCAGTAGTTTGAGGGGGGGAATCTTCATATAATTTTAAATTATTGAGCTCAATATGAGATGTACAAGGATGTTGAGATTCGATGTCATCGTTTAGATAAGTATCGTGCGACTTGTACATTTTATTTTTTGCCATGTTCTAAAAAATACTTTATATATTTAAATTGATCACGCACATGTGTAAGCTTTTTTTTTGTTGGCAAAAACAAAATTTTTTTTCATTTTCTCTTTTACGTCAGTATGTTGCTATTCTGCGACATAACTTTGTTTATTGTTGTTACATTGTTATTTCAATGAAACGGAATGAAACATGACAACTTCTGAAGTTTGTTGATCTATATGATCATTATCGAAAGAATATATATCCTGACGAAACTTTTAAACTGTCATTTGATAATTAAAATAAAGAAGAAATTTCGTCTGATTGATACATACATATATATGTGTAGTTAATCTTCTATAGATGTCCTAATATACCTATAAACAAAAAAAAATTAATTTTAACAGTTGGATACGTTAAAATTAATAAAAAGTGATTCATCATAGACAATATCATAAATATTAATCGTAAATTATGTTTTTAGCGTTGCTTGTTTTTTTCATCAATAATTGCCTACGTCCAAAAAGCTTTCCTATACAATTTCAAACAATATGTACATAACTACATTAACGAGGAAAGGTCATCAACTTGAAAATCGCTTTCGGGCTCAAACATACTCGACTATAGGCAATCGACCATGCTGAATCCGAATATCACGGTCTTTACGGCTAAGGGAGCCCCGAAGACCTTGGTTTTCTTGAAAGCTAGTTTTCCATTAACCAAATTATTTTTTTCTGAGATGAGTTTCTGATGTTCCTAGGTGATAGAGCACAATAAATGGCATATAAAAAGTTGCTTTCGTCAATATTTTAGTTCTTACTGACTTACTATGACACATTAAACTTCTCTAACGGAAATTTTCGACCTCTATCGATCATTATCAACCAAAACACAACCAAAAGTATAAATAATGAAGTTACAACTACAATTATATATATACACAAAACGTAAATTTGAACAGCATAAATATTTATATGAATATCGATGACAAACGATGTTGATTATCACTAATAATAAATTAATTATTTATTGAATTCGATCTTAATATTAAATCATAATTTATTCCATGTACCTATATACTTACGAATAATTCATGTAAAAAATACTATTTAATATTAATAATAATGTACGAAAATTGAATGAAACCATGGGATTTAATACTAATTTTAAATAGAAGAAATAAATATAGTTATAACTTCACTATATTTGTACTTTTTGGTTGATAATGATCGAAAATTTCCATTATTGTTAAAAATATAAGATTTTCATTACATATTCTACATTTATTTCTTCTATTTAAATTTATATTAAAGCTCATGGTTTTAGTCAATTTTCATACATTAAACTTCTTGTATCTTAATATAATTTAAGAGACAGTCCCGCACCAGTGATGCCAACATAGTCAGAAAACCGGAATTATAATGTGAAAATCCGGAAAATTCCGGAAACGTTTTTTTGTTAAATCGGAAAAGATTTTTAACAGTTAATTTCTACCGGCTAAAATAAATTTCTTTAAATCTTGTTCCCAATTATACTACTTATTATTTCAAAAAACACATGTTTCAATAAATCAAAAGAAAATCCACATGAAAATTCGAAATATAATAAACTAAATACATAAATATAAGCCACTGAGCCGTTGTCAAATAGAAATTTTTTTATGAGTATTAACAGATAAATAAAATTTAGTTCAATAAAAATAATCGAAAACCCGGGAAATCCGGAATTTTTCTGGAAAAACCGGAAAAGTTGGCAGCACTGACCCACACCCACCTGAGATGTCTATCACGTCGATTCATAACTAAGAGAGATATAGCTAAAGCATCGATGAGGATTTGCGAGAAGGGAAAAATTCAACACTCCTTTTAGATTATGTTTCACAAAGATTATGAGGGTGTGAGTACTGTTTTGATTCCTTACCCATACCCGCATCCATTACGTTCTTATTATTTACCGAGTACTTCTCTGTATGCGCGCGCGAGTCACTAAAAAATACAATTAATTCAAAAATAACTGAACAAAATATGCTTTTATTTATTTATCAAATATTCTTTCTCATTTCTTCTTTTACAATATCAATACTCTCTTTTGCAATTTGTATATGAGGATGAGTTGGAGGTAATGCACTTTGTAATATGTTCAGAGCACGTTCTAAACATGATAATGCTTTTGAATACTCTTTCATCTTATAATGTACACCAGCGATACTGTTGTATGAAGTAGCCAAATCAGGATGATTAGAAGGAAGACTTTTTTGACAAATTTCAAGTGCTTTTTCGTAAAATGAAAGTGCTTTCGAGTACTCCCCCATGTTGTCATACACGCTACCGATGTTGTTGTATGAAGTAGCCAAATCAGGATGATTTGAAGGAAGCGTTTTTTCTCGAATTTCAAGTGCTTTTTCGTGTGATGAAAGTGCTTCAAAGTATTTCTCCATGTTGCTATACACCAAACCGATGTTATTGTATGAAGTAGCTAATAAAGGATGATCTGAAGGAAGAGTCTTCTGATTGATTTCAAGTGCTTTTTCGTGAGATGAAAGTGCTTGAGGGTACTCTTCCATCTTATTATATACGCTACCGATGTTACTGTACGAAGTAGCCAAATAAGGATGATTTGAAATAAGAGTTTTTTCATATATTTTAAGTCCTTGTTCATAATACTGAATAGCCTTTCCATAATTACCTTGATTCGAATGAATAAATCCCAACTGATTATAATAGTACGCTGTTTCACTCTCATCAGATGTCTGTTCGAGTAATGCATTATAAAGCTTTTCAGCTTTATTAAATTGACCAATTTTAAGTAATAAGTTACCTAATCTTTGCCATCCAGTACCACCAGCTTCTTCTCGTATCCGATCAGTAAGTGCTCGTAATTGTTGATCATCATCCGCTGTTAATTGTAATTCAACTTGATAAAGTTGATTCTTATTGTCTATTTGTTTAATTCCATTTACTCGAAAGACGGTGTGCATTGAGAAGAGAATTTCTTCTTCGCTTTTAATAGCACTCACCTCTTTGATAGAGGCAAATGGTGTTGATTTAACACGAGGATCAATGGACATCATAAAAAGAATGCCCACCATACCCGGTTTTACTGAAGCACGTCGAGCAAAACTGAGGGACACGTTTTCATTTTTACTAGTGGACAAGAAATTATTAAATGACATAAGTCCACCTTTTGTTTTTTGAAGTTTTTCAAAGTCGGATTTCATAAAACCTTGTCCTCGATAAACTATCAAAGGTTTTCTTTCATAACTGCTGACCTGTTGTTCATACAGCTGTTGAATTTGTTGATGTACATCACGCAGAAAGAAGCCCATTTTAATGATCATATCGGCATCCATAATTCGAAGTGCCTGATTGAGCATTTTGTAGGCAAAACACTCACGTGTATACCACCATATTGCTTTTGGTGGACAATATTCACGTTCGAATTCATTAATCAGCTGTAATTCATTTGTATTGCCACTAAAATCTTCTCGGCAACAAGCTGCTAAGTTCTGGATTGCCTTATCATCATATTCAATATCAAGGAGAACTTCCTTGAATAGTTGGGTATACATAAAAGTTGGCTCTAACTGATTTAAATTCGCAGTTGAAGCCATTTCATTTACGGCAAGAAAGCTTACGGCAATTGTGTCCTGATCGCATTGCTTAACAGCCAATTTCAATGCTTGACATATTTCTTCAATTTTTGTATGTACACCTTTGATTTTTGTCCAGTTTAGTGTACATGCCTCATGTCTGGATTTATTGCTACAAAAGATGTAAATGGTGTCGAGCTGTGGCATGCCATGAATTTCAGGAACTAAATGTTGACCTAATGAGCCTGATGTTATAACAAAGGCTCTTTCATGATCAAATTGGTTGAGTACTTGGACGCAATGAGCCGGTTGCGTGCATAGGTTGATGTCATTGACCACATTCTTCAGTTGCGCCAATGTGTTTTGGCAGTCCTTATTTGTTTGGTCGATGTTGGCATCTACCCAGATGAGAAGGTAATTTTGTGACATACGTTGTCGTGGTTGGGAAATATCTGACAATGATGTTGATTTTGATGTTGTTTTGAGGCTTTTTTTCGATTTTTGTGCACCCATGTCGCCTTGGAATGCGAACTAGTTCTCTATATGGATTGAAATTGATAGTAATTGGTTTGATTAAAAGCTAAAATTGGTCCAATCTATCTATATAGACGATGACTTCAAATATTTATGTTTTATTTGTTGTCGCTCAAGCACAGACTACACCTAGTTACTTTTGAAAATAATAGTGTACAGAGCAAGAAACAAAATCAAGCAAACAATTCTTTTTCGTAATATTATCGAAAGAACGAGCAAAACAGAAGCCAACAATCCAAATTCATTTTATTATTATACTTTCCAGCTTTTTGTTTGCCTCTGTTTACATCATTACTACAGTTCGTAAATGTATAGGCCCCATTTGTTTTTCATCGAATAAAAATAGAAAGAAATACAATTCTTTCACCAAAGTAGCTTTTCTTTAACTCTTTCTCAAACATCATATTAATATTTGATAAATGAATGCAATTTATGAGAAAAAAATTCAAGGAAAGAAGCTTTGTGAAATTTTGTACTTAGAGCATACGTTAAACATTATACCAATGAATGGAAAAAGCTGTATACTTAATATTAATGAAACTAAGATCAAAGGGACTTTTTTGTTCTTTATCAAAACAAGCAAAATGTTTTGTACACGATTATTGACGAGTTTTTTTGAGAATAGTTTTTATAAATCTCAGAAATATTAAGAAACTTTTTCACAATTTGAGTATAAAATACTATTATTGAACAAAAACGGAATTATTTTGTATTCTTAGAGGTAGATATGACTATTTGTACTGTTGATAGTAATTCAAAAAAATTAACTTTCTCGAAAAAAGAGGTGCTGAAGAACTATATAATTTACATCAGAAAAGAGACTTAGACCAAACTTCTTTGTGAGGTACTCAGATGAAAATTTGTTTTCGAATTAAAAAAACTAATTTGTGAAATGATTTCTTCACGAAGTTATGTACTGTTTATTTTTTTGTATAGTAGAAGAATTATTTCAATACAACACAGATGGTTTTGTTGTAATAAATAGTGTATATATATGGTGATAGAAATCATCGAAAATAAATGAAAAATGTTGAAATAAATCTTTCTAAAGAAAAAACTATGAGAAAGTTATGCTAATATCTTTAGATACTTGAATTGTTATGCCTGTCAACTACTCTAACTCCAGAAAAATTATATTTAAAAAAAAAATTTATGCAAAACTTTTGCACAATCCATGCTTATGTGACGAATATTGAATTTAGTTGATAAAAAAGAAGAAGTTGAATAAATATAGCAATAACCTAGCAACAGTATACATGCATGCATGCACTACTAGAGGTATGCTCATTATTAATGATATTGCATCAAAATCTACGAAAAAAACGCTGGTAATAGTATTTTGAGAGAATTGTGTGTAGTACACAAGTGTTATATATAAGATAAATAATCGTTTTTCGTTTAAATCTTAAATTAAAAGGCCATTATTATGAATAGTCATGTGGCTTCTTTTTGTTTCAAATCGTTTCTCGAAAAGAACCTCTATAGGTGATATATACTTAGTCGTTTAAAATGCAAGTATAAGGAAAAAGAAAGATTGATAAAAAAAAGTACACTGACAATGAGACAAACAAACGTTAATGCAGTTTTATTATTCTTGCCATTCTTTTTCGTCCTTGTATGTATATTTATTTTTCAGAATGAAGAGAGAGAGTGTGCAAAGAAACGAATTTGAAAAGAGAAGCGAAGCTGCAAATTATTCATTCTTTCTCACCGTCTGTCACTATAGTTTCATTGAATAGATAAGTTAATGTATGAAATGCATGGTAAAAAATAGTTTCAGGGCTTAAAAAGATTATGTTACGAAAGTCTTTGTTTTCTAATTGTTTCATGTATTAAAAAAAAGATGTCTTTTTTGTCCAGTATATTCGAAATGTATCTAATTAATAATATATTGTATTCCTACATTGAAAGAATAAAAAACACTATGATACATACTGCCAAAATGAACAATAAGAAAGGAGGTATTGTTACAAATGAATTTGAAAAAAACTAATTAATCTTTTTTTTTTTGAAGATAGAATGGAAAAATATTCTGAGTTTCTATTAAAATGTCCATGTAATACAGAAAGTCCTAACATACTAATACACACATTTCATATGTTATCTAGTGTATTACTCATTTTTCGTATGTGCTTGTCGATTGATCATCATTTTTACTATTTCATTTGTTTTACTTTACAGATTAAATAATATCTAAAAATATTTTATCTTAAACTTCGAATGATACAAATGATTTTTTAGCGCGTATAAAACTTGTAAAAGTACCAAAACCAATTCTAATATTGCAAAATTTGTATAATTATCATTATTAAATAGGTTTTAAATGATTAATTAATATATTATATTAGTATCGATGTTTTATTCATTAGTTCTAACAAGAAACTGTAATAGTCATTGATATTCACGTGAGACTATAGAGTACATTGGGAAACAAGTCATATATGAGTATTTTAACCATGTAAACTATCAAATATAAATGTATTCACTTTCATCAAAATTTGAGGGTGTGGGTGTGAGCGGGTTTGATCGTAGGAATTAAATGTATAAGTAATTAACATCCACTCACACCCACCCACACTCTCTTCCAGCATCAAGAGAAATATTATAGTTTCATTATAGTTTTTTTGACATCATCTTAAACTACCGTTAAGATCTGTCTACATATAGTTATACATATACAGAATTACGATTATTGTTATTATATGGTCAGCTGTGAAGTGAAGTAAATCAAATAATTCGTTTTAATGCATGAATTTTTATAGTCATTATTGTTAAATAAAAAACAAATATTTTTTTCTTATTAAACCATAATTATTTCAACTCAAAAAATCGAAGATATATGATTTTGTTATTAATCCAGAAAGCCCATAGAGTTCGATCGTCATGTCGATTAAAACGAAGTCAAATGACCCGTTTTGAAATTGGATCTAGATAAAAATACCGTGAACTTCAAAGTTATTTAGTTGTACACTTGACGGTTATAACTGACATATGTAGACTTTTGGTTTGCATATTGATCATGACATTTGCATTATCTATGTATTAACTTTTAATTCGGAATCCAATCTTGCTATTAAATTTGATACGAAATAAATTTGATACGAGTATATCAAGACCATTGGCACATCCTATAGTATAGTCATAAGTATTAAATTTTCAGTAAAAATAACATAACAATCTGAACGTCTGTTATTAGATAAACAATAGCTTTATCTTTTTAATTTAAAAATATATAAATATTGAGAATACGTATATTATAAGTCATTGTTGTCGTTCTCACGTTGAATAATAATTATTTTTCTTTCATTTACATTTATTTTGCTGAAAATTTCTATTAAAATATAATCTAAAAACTTTAACATTCAGTAGTTACTTATCCAAGATATTTCCATGAATTGCTTTACAAATACATCAAATAGACATTTATATATGTGTAGATTTGAATCAAATTCGAAAAAATTCAGAAAAGAGTATGCAATTTGTTATTAGTGGTGATACGTATCTTTCACTAATAATGATTAATGAAATATTTCTATGGACACTACCATAAATGATTATCGCATATGTCAAGTAAATTATAACTCAGTATATGGATCACTTTTTTTACAATAATAGTTTCTACTGAGATGTATTTCGTAAGATTAAAAATGATTACCTATATTATGTTTCTCGAATGAAATGAGTCAGAATTTTAGGAGGAAGACACGAATATCTGCTTCTTCAATGGCTTTGAAATTTTATTGATGTGAAAAATGCCATGTGACTAAATGCCTCCTTCTTTATCTTTTTATTCTTATCGTATTGTACCTTACTATAGTATCATATAAATCCGAGGGTATTTCGGTCTACTTCTTTGGTTTAGATGCCCATGGTCACGCTGACCAAACAGTAGTAAATGCTTAGAATTATTTTTATAAGCACTTCTCAATGTAACAATAAAAAGAGCAAATTTAAAGACAAAACTAATTTTTAATGTGTATTGTAATATGGTACAATACATTATTATGACAGAAGCATATTTTCTCACTTGAAAATAATATTTTTGTCATATCATAGCCATAGACGAATCAGTATAAAAGCGAGTCTATTGTATGTGAAATAAAGAGAAAAGTTTTATAAAATGCAACGAATTATGTTCTTAGCGTCACTTGTTTTTTTCATTAACAATGGCCTATGTCAAAAAGGTTTTCCTAAACAATTTCAAACAATATTGAACATTACTACGCTCAGTCCATCTGTACCCGCGACTGAAGGTGTTCAATATTTATTATATGATTATACAAATTTAAGAGCTCGTATTGATGCAAAAGGATGGAGATCGAAACACAATGAAACCTATGTGATACAATATAAACCTGAAGGTGCTGAAACAGATTCGGTAAGTAATACATCATTTACAATAAAAACAAAACTAATAAAAAGAACTATTCATTAGCCAGCTTCGCAAGATTATGCCATATTTAATTTCAATCCTGATTATCCTGAGTTCACCAAAGTAAAAAGACAGATTTTCTTGTTTTTTTTTTCCTTTTGAAAAATAATATTCATTTTAAGAATGATTGCTGGTATAGAACAAATCCAATGATTGATATAGGTCCATTTCCAGCGGCATGGTATAGTAATAATAATAATAATGAATTTCATTTTGAAGTTAAATCATGGTTTCCATTACCATCAAACCTTATCAAAACGGGTGAAGAATGGATACCAGAAGTTCAAATGAATACAATTGTATGTATTTTTCTGTAATAGTACATGTTTGAAAAGTTTTCTTTCTATATTTATTCATGAAATTCAGATTATTTTGTATTTTATATTGATGAGATAAAGCCTATCTGTATCCAAGTTAGAATTTATGAAACGTTAATAGTAAACAATAGGAGATATAGATCTAAAACACACTTCCATTTGCTTTAAATTTACTATAATTCAATGAGGAACAATGAATAATACTTCAAATGAATAAAGAGACTTTTTCGTTGTTATTCCAGATTTAACTATTATCTGTTTCAGTTAATGCATTTTTCATGTCCAATAACAATAATAATAAAATTTTAATCTCTATAGAGATATGATTCGCCTGAAATATGTGATCTAAAACGATCTGGTCTTGGTAAGGTACCATGTTTAAGTTATTTTGAAGCACCAGATAGACCTGTAAAAACTATTCAAGCACGTGCTGCTGTCGGTTCTTTTGATAGTGATCAGTAAGTATATATTTCACAATTTTATTCAAGGAATCAATAATAATTCGTTTGCGCATATAGATATACAAGTACATTTTATTTAACATTTATAAATGGTATTCCATCAGAAGCTGAACATTTATTTGATTTACCTAAACAATGGCCTTCCTATTGTGGCAATGCAAATGCAGGTTCTACTATAGATCCTATACATGGATTTGTAGTAACTCCAGAAGGCAATGATCATTTTACATTAAAATTAAATACACCACCAGTTCGTTCACTTGGTGATCAAGTTAAAGTTGATTTTAAATTACAACCATCATGGTATTACAATGGTACACGATGTGTTCAATTCAATACAATCATTTTCGATCAAAAAAATTGGCAAATACCACAACAAGTTGATATGTCATTTACTGATTATGGTTGTTGTAATTATGTAGTTACTGCAACTGGTGGTGGATATGAATGGCAATATAAATTATCATCGTTTGTTGTTTATGCATGTGATGGAGAAGCTGAATATGGTTGTAAAGGCAAAGAACCATGTGGTGCCTAAAATAATATTGAATGTACACGTAAAATAGTCTCCTCTACTCGTATATTCTATATTAAATAAAAATTTATCTTGATGATATGTTTGACATAGAAATAGATATTTCTATTTCTAATTAAAATCATTGAATTAAACTTGATGATGATGAGTGGGTATAGGTAATAATCATTTTCATTAACACTCATACCCTAATCTCTATCGTTATGGCTCGTAAGATGTCTTACATTCGAAGTGCATCAATACTTGATCGTTAGAGATCTATATTATCTAGATATACTTTCAACTTGAAATATATTATGTTAATAAAAAAAAAGAAGAGCTTCCATAAGAACGATGGTATTGACAATCAACAATAATAGAAAATAGAAATAGAGAACACTACTGTCGTTATCACATAGAAACTTGATAAGCGACTTCAGAATGATCGAATATATAATTCACCGTCGGGTAGAAGGTAACAACCGTATTCTGGCATTGTCTCAGAGCGTTTCACGTCAATATTAGTATACCTTATAATGTTCTACATTGATGAAAATGAAAAGTTTATTTTATGGATACAGAACGTTATTATATTGTTGTATGAAACAACTTTTACAAAACAAAAAATAAAATAAATATGAAGAGAGAGATGACAAGCTCTTGTTTAAGGATGAATTCTAGATTTATTGAATTAGTGCGTTCATTATTCAAAGTCCACGAACATAATCGTTAGGTACTATGCGAAAAATACGTTTCGTATGATAATTATTACAATGATGCTCGATTGCCTGCGTTGCTGTTCCTGTAGCAGGATCAATAATCTTATCTCGATGCAAAATGACAATATGAGAGCCAGTTATCCAACCTTCATTGTTCGGATCACCAAGAATAGCTTCCGGGTTAAGAGTTGTATAATAGCTAAGTGTGAAGAGATCATCCATACCAACGAGCTCATTCATATAGAATTTCAATTTTCGTACATCTGCAGTACAGTAGGCCAGCTTCATTCCATATGGTTGCAGTACTTCTGACCAAGAATATGGATCCTGCGTGTTCATTCTGCCTTGAAAATCTTCCGGTGATTTTCCCGCCAACATTGCAAGAGTCGTTGATACACAACGTGGTCCCGTCTGACGGATGCGTTGAATATCACGATCACGAAAGAAATATTCATCCTTATTTGGCCACAATGGCGCATTCTTATTGTATATAGCCGCCATACTATAGAATGGCAAATGGATAGAAATCTATACAATGCAAGTCACTGTTGTCTCTAAAAATAAGAAAGTTATATCGTAAATATAGTTTTCTTACATTTTATATGAAATACATCAGCAGGATGAAACCAAAAAAAAATTTTTACGAATTATATTAGACTATAAAGTAGTCTGGTATGTAGCTATAATCATAAATGATAATAAATACTTCTATAATGGAAAGTAATAAAGATGGAATAGGTAAATATAAACTTTCTATTTGAAGTATTATAATATTGCTTGTTAACTATACCAGAAGCTGCACGTGCAAGAGTATATATACTTTAGAGCAGAATAAAAAAAAGAAATACGTCCTCAAAAAACAGAACAAGCGCAGTTTTTTTTCGTCAGACGAAAAAGAAAAGAATAGAAAAAATGTTATTATAGATAAAACCGGCTTCAGATATCAAAATAAAAGGAAAAGAAAGCGAAAAAAAATGATCGCTATCAATAAAGAACAAGAAGAGTCTTAGTTAAAAAAACAAAACAGTCCAAGAGGTAAAATAAATTCTTCATTGTAAACATGGAAAAACCAGCCAAACAATCATTATTATCAACTAAACCTATCGAACATTTATTCTACATAATAACCAAACTATTGAAAGAATTTATTCATCTAATTTTTCATTCTTTCTTCAACTAAACGATGGAGAAATTAAAAAACTCAACTCAGCGAATTAGTTGTAGATGGAAACCAAATCTCCCAATTACTATCAAAAGTTACATCGATTATATCAGCATACAAATAAAAAGAGTTTTACAAATATTTCAACTATATAGAACAAGATTCAGGACACCTATATGGCTGTCTTGTAGTTGTATGCATATCTCTATACAACTCACTAACGATATTCTAAGCAACTTTCACACTAGGAAGACATATACTATATTTTGCTAGCTCATACTCACTTTTACAAAGAAGAATCTTCGAGAGTCGAAAGTTTTCGTTTGTTCTTTCGTTGATGAAATACAAAAATAACGAAGCTTTTGGTTTTATTTCGTTGAAGTTATTTATCTTTATATTGTGAAAGAACCTTTATAATGTAAAAATTTATTCTTTAGGGACACTCATGTGTCATGATGATTCGTTTTTTCTCCATAGGAGATAAATACCATTATGAGTAATGATGGCGCAAGAAAAAAAGCCACATGCAATTGAATCTGAAGAAGAATATCTAAGTTCTTCCAGTCATTTGTTTTCTTCGACGTTTTGCATTATTCTCATGCTCGTTTCAGTGCACTATAATCGTCGTGAAATTTTCACGAAATAATCTGTTTATAAAATTTAATTTTAAAAGAAAACGATCCAGTACAATAACATTCAATGGAACACCAATTTAACTAATTCAATCTGTTGGTATTACTTGTTGCTTTCTCCGAGATTTTTAACATCATACTTGTTAGAAGTCTGTTCACTCAGATAAATTTGTGCCTCATCTGCAGGACTGTTTAAATTGGAAATAAATGTAGACAGATCATGTTTAAAAATAGGTGACTGTTTCTTCCTTTCAGTTATTTTACTGTCCTTAACTTATATTCTCATATGTTTCTCTCTATTTTAAAGTCAGTGATATATGATTTAGAACTTTGACTATTTCTCAAAAGTCCGTATCACCATATATTTTGAAATTTTAGTCTATTCTTTGGAAAAAGAAAGATTAAGTATACTCAGTATCGTAATTGAGTTTGTTAAAAATTTGATAAAAAAACACTAAGAATGGTAAATAGAAAACAATATTTTGGATTTTTCAATTCATATATTTGATAATAAAACGTAAAAGAAAGCGACAGATTACTTTTCTCTTCTGTTTGTCAATAACTCAAAGGTGTAACCAATATTTAATTTGAAGAACAAAAATTGAATATTTAATGATTGTGTGATTTTGGAACTTGTAAACAACTGATCGTTAAATAATAAATAATTCTATTTCATCTTCGTCCGTTCCTTAGATTGTTGATTGATAAGATCGGTAATATATATGAGAAGATTTTTTTCAGAGTAATATAATAGCCGAGTAACACACAGTTATTTATTTTATTTTTTCATTGTGTTAATGAAAATATGAGTTACTCTTTCATCATTGTTTTACTATTTTATCATCTCAAAGTAAAATCAAGTAATATAGTTCTTATCCCAGTAATTCATAATGTTTCTCTACAAATATCGAATTCTAATTCAACAATAATGTATGGTACCTGCGAAAAATGCCTTTGCACAATGCTTTTAAGTCCGACATGGATTTCATCTTTTAATTGTTTTGCAAATAATAGAACATGTGAACTATTTTATTTGTCTCTTAATACAAGTTCTTTTTCGTTAACGAGTAATTCAGAAAGTTCAATTTATTTTATTTCATTACCAACAATCGAAATGACATCGGCAACTACAGTTACAGCGCAAAACACAACTAGTTTTAGCAGTAAGTCTGTATTCTCTCGAAGTATATATTGTAGAGGAAATCAAGCTTCAATCTCCGTTAGGGCAAATTATAATAATTTTTTTGTTTTTGTAAGTGAAAATTGTAGATTTTAATTTGGACTACAGCATATACATCGAAATTTGACAGCCTGACACAGAGATCGAAAGATGATTACTATACTCACTTATTCTCTCACAGTGCATTGCATAGTTCCAAGCTAGTTATTGTCTAAAGATGCTTAGTACACATATATATGTAACTTTCATTAGTCACTACATCAACATCAACTACATCCCAGACTACCACAGCAACTAAGACAACAACATTACAGACCACGACAACAACATCGAAGACAACAACTACAACATCAGTGACTACAACTACGACATCACAGACTACGACAACAACATCACACACAACAAGTACAACATCGAAGACAACAACCACAACATCAAAGACAACAACCACAACATCAAAGACA